ATACCCGGTCTGTATTTCTACATATGTATATCTTTTATTTCATTTTAGTCTTACTTGATTTTATATTGCTATGTTTAAATCTGCTTTTTGCTCTTTCACCTCTTTCTCAGGAGCTCGGTGATGTTTCCCTACAGGGATTAATAAAGGATTCCTGATTCCTGACACACAATACTAGAAGTTCTAAAGGGATATGCATTGCAGAGATTTGTAGAGTGCACATGTTCTACAGGATCAACATGGCAGAGCAGGCATCTCTTAGCGCTGCTGTTCTCTCAGCTGCAGAATAAAAATAGTGTGGAGCCCTCTGTTCCTCATGACCCTGATGGTATGAATCCTTCATGGTGAAGACTGTGGTAACGGTGTGAGTGAGGTCGAAACAGAGTTATGGTTATAACTATTGATCTATAAGACTGAGCAACAACCATAACCATATCTTGTCACTCAGAATGGGTTGAGGTGTTCTAGGCGAGAGGAAGAGGCATGTTCACCCGGATGGGGAGGCTTTGATCACATGACTTTGTTGACATAAGATGTTGAGTATGGGTAACAGAAAAGGCATCATTCAAGGTGAAGACTGTGATGATGGTCATCGTTCTGTCTCATAAATCCGTGGTCATAGCCATAAGTCTGTTATTAAGCAGAAAACTTCTTAATGGGTTAGCATGAAGTAGGAGCTCTCTGAATGCCCTTCCAGTTGACAGATTGTCATTGTTGTCATTGTGTAAATGTCTTCTAGCATTGTTCCAAGCACAATTTCCTGTATGATCCTTGCAAGTATTTGGAGGATTTTTGTCTGCTCATTGTCTATTTCTGATTTCTTCACTGAGACTGACTTGTTAAATATGACCTTTTTGCTTGTGAGTCAATACTTTGCCTTATTCCCCTCCTAAATATTCTTTACTCCTGAATTCAATTCCCAGAAGACACTAACTAAAAGCACATTGGGTAAGAAAAGTAACCCACAAAACTTGATCGTACATTGATATATTGTGTATCTTAGTTCATTGACAATAAAATCAGTGATTTTTTTTTTTAATAATAGAAGGACTTTGTGGTGCTAGTGTTAGTAGCTCACTCTCCCTCCCCTGCTCTTCCTGGATTGTACTCTTTCACCCTCGATCTGTTCACAGCATCTGAGGTAAACCAAACATTCCCTAAGATCTATAAATTACTTCAACATTGACCCTTTGCACAGCAGCCATTGTGACCTGTCACAGATGTGCGAGCGAAAAGGCTAAACTAAAATAACATTGTGGTCTAAAAGTGTGTTTTATATTTATATTATATAGATATTTAAATACTAACCGTTGGCAAAGGGGTGTTCACCTGATGACCTGACCTGAATGTTGGTCTCAACCTTTTGAGACAAATCTTTCTTTAACTGCTAAATGCTCCACTGTGTTCACCAGGTATTGTCTCTGCTGTTTGGTGCAGAGGAGGAGGTGTACAGTGTTTTCACTGAAAACAGCTGCCTGCTAAAAGAGCTACAGGGAACTGCAGAATAGGTAATAAAATCCATATAATCATGATTACACATATCACATTCAAACCATAATTTAGTTTAAAAAAAATTTTTTTTAAACAACGATTATTCACCTCAGATTTTCCAGTATAAGCAGTATCAGGCTTGGGTACAATACACAAGGATAGCGTGTTGTGACAAAAGAAGGGATTGGCACTTAAAGCCTCATTTTTACTGCCACTGAATTATTGCTCAGACTGCAGCACTTTGAAATAACTGATGTATCCATTTGTCTGTCAGTGTGAATGGAAGCGGTCAGTGGGCTGAAACCAGCATCTATCATAATAATCGTAAATCAACTGACCCACAGCGTCTGCTCGTTAAATTACACTTGTTTGTGAGGTGTGTGTATGTGTATGTGTGCTTGCTCCTATACTTCTACCAATCATATTGTTTATCCTAGACGAACCCCCAGCTTTTAAGTGTGATATTGTTTGTGGCAAGAGTGGCTCTAAGGACGCATATAAACTGATGTTAAATAGGTTTCCATGAATGACATTGTGACGATACCATGCACAAACAAAGACACAAGATGATATGTAAATGAAAGTGTCCTGTTGACATTTCCACAATTCAAGCTTTAACCAGGGAATTCAATCAGGGAATGAATGTAATTCTAAAATGAGGTGTCTGCTGTTACAGAGGAGTGACAGCAGACGCACACTCACAAAGTATTCAGACCTTATATTAAAATAATAACAATTCCTTTTTCTTCATCAATATATATCATTTTTTGCACATTTTTTAAAAATGGAAAAACTAAAATATCAAACTAACATAAGATATGACAGAGTTAAAGGTGCAGTGTGTAGAATTTTGTGATATCTAGTGTTGAAATTGCATGTTGCAGCTGAACACCCCTCACCTCACCCTCTCCTTCCAAACATGAAAAAGAAACTGTGGTAGCTTCAGTTGTCATAAAAACTCAAAATGTGTTTAGTTTGTCCAGTCTGGACTAATGTAAAAAACATGGCAGCTTCCGTAGAGAGGGTCCCCTCAATGTAAATATAAAGTATTTAAATATAAAGGGTCTTTTCTGGAGTAAAGAAAACTACAATTCATACAATTTAGATGAAACGAACTAGTGAAAACATCATGAGGATTATTCTACATTAAATTTCTGCCAATAGTTCCCTTTCACCTAAATCTTACACACTGGACCTTTAAGCGTGAAAAGGAGAAAGAGAGCAGGGAGGACATTCGATTCGTTCTCCAGTTGTAAGGTGAACCATGGCCAAGTCTGAGATTCTGAGCAGTCTGGACCATATTTTCATTGAGGATGTCTTTGTACTTGGGTTCATACAAATTTCCCTCTACCATGATCAGTCTCTGTGTCTGAAAAACACCCCCACAGAATCAAAGTCCAGGTCAACTTTATTTTCAATTCTGCCATATGCAAAGGACATAGGCGGGATTGAAATGCAGTTTCTCTCTGATCCCCGGTTTTAACATAAAAGTAGACAGAACATATAAGTACGCAAAAAAAGAACACATGAGTATGCAACATATTGCAGTCTTTGCAAAGGATATGGAGGGGTTAGATCTGTTGATGGAGGTGGTGGGTGAATGGTACAGTCCTTGTAGGTGAGTTCAGCATCCCGACAGCCTGGTGGGTGAAGCTGTTTTGCAGTCTGGTGGAACCAGCACGGAGGCTCCAGAATGATTCTGCCCTTTCTTCACTGTGGGGTTGTGTTGGACAGGTGATGACTGCTTCCTGGTTTCCTCCAGACACGATGCTTAGAATTGAGGCTGAACAATGCAGTCTTGTTCCATGTCTCAATGTGTGTACTCGCATTTGCTATTTTGAATGTGTAGGTGCATTCACTCTGATTAGTATGGCATCATGCAGTGCACCATATGTACCCGACCAGTGTACTCATCATGAGGGCTGTGTGATATATATATATATATATATATATATATATATATATATATATATTTGATTGTGGTTTTCTTTGCTTCTTTTTTTAGGTCTGTCTTGTTTTCATATTGTCAAAATCTATTCAAAATTGTCACATACACGAATCATACACAGTACAGTGTGCAGTAAAATTATTTTAACGCCCCTCCTTGATGCAATAATAAGATTTCAAAAAATAATTTTTCATTTTTACAATTTACAGAGAAAAAAAAGTGTGAGGAAGGAAGACATATATACATGTATATACAAATATGTACATGTATATTATAATACGTGAAGCACTTTGAACTGCACTGTTGACACGGAAAGGATTTCTGAACTTAACAAATTATGCTATAGAGTGGTCCCCCCAACAGACACAATCAGTTTAATTACTACATCTATTTTTATTCAATTAAAATCACAACTATAATATATAGATGTCAGTACATTGCAAATAAATAATAATAAATACCAGTTTGGCTGACTTCACACACACACACACCAAAATTGAGCCATTGCTGTTTGGTCCTTACTTGAGGACCATTGTCAGGCTCATAGCCCCACCTGCTGGAATTAAGGCCTCATGCCACTTGAGAGTTAGGTTCAGTGGATGGGTCTTTGTGCATGTTAAGTTGATAAAAAAATAAAAATATATAATAATATGGTCGACATTGGCTGAGCTACACCTTTAAAATTAGTTCTTTGTCTTCTTTTCTGGTCAGTTGCTGAAAAAAAGTAGCAATAACAAAACATTTTTGTTGTTGATTGGTGACACATTTGTGCAGTTAAATCAAAGACTTTATTTATGGTATAGACCACAGACACAGTCCATGTTACAGACCACAGATATACAGTCCATGTTACAGACACAGACACAGTCCATGTTACAGACTACAGATATACAGTCCATGTTACAGACCACACATGTACAGTCCATGTTACAGACCATAGARACAGTCCATGTTACAGACCACAGACACAGTCCATGTTACAGACCACAGACACAGTCCATGTTACAGACTACAGATATACAGTCCATGTTACAGACCACAGAAACAGTCCATGTTACAGACCACAGACACAGTCCATGTTACAGATATACAGTCCATGTTACAGACCACAGATATACAGTCCATGTTACAGACCACACATGTACTGTCCATGTTACAGACCATAGATACAGTCCATGTTACAGACCACAGATATATGGTCTATGTTACAGACTACCAATACAGTCCATTACCAATGATAAGGACCATATATATACTCCATAATTCAAACCATGAGAAAAACCAGAACTGATTGCTGTGAGCTCACTCACATTCCACTAAATAAAATGAGTGTGACTAGTTCACATACACATGTTGTATAGGTTTGTGTTATAGTTTGACTCTGCGGTTTTTATCAGCTCCATCCTTACAATCTCACAGACTACATGACCCCTGCAGTTTCCGTTTACTGGTCACCTGTCAATCAGTCACAAACGAACGAATCTCCGCCCACGTGTTGACGGACAGCAGGCTGATCAAATCAAACGCACTCTGTGCCCTCGTGTCACGTAGAAACTCCGTGGACACTGCGTGTGCGCGCTACACGGGACTTGCATCACCTCTGAAGCACAGTGTTTTATTTTGAAAGCTGTAAGCGGAAGTGATCTGCGTAGCCTCCAGCTGGACGCAGCGGGGATGAGCGGTGTCCTGTGACGGGAGCTAAAGATGGAGCCGTCAGAAAACCCGTCAGTCGGCGTGGAGCCGGATGCTACACCGACCCCCGCGGCTCTGGACACCGCAGTGCTGCTGCTGGGAGCGGGAGTGACAGCCGTCACACACCCGCTGCTGTACGTGAAGCTGCTAATACAGGTAGCCGATGTAGCTAAGTAGCTAACCGTAGAACAACCGAGACAAACAGTCAGACCTCACCGTGATGTGTTGGGGAGACCCGCTCCCATGATGCAGCGCGTTCGTTCACCTGAGCTGCTGGCTGTGACCGGGCAGCCGGGACATGTGATGTTCTTCCGGCAACATCGTCCAGAGCAGTGACGTCACTGGCAGTGACGTCAAAATAATAAGAGTTTGGACTATTCTGTCTTTTATCAAACATTCATGAACAATTGAGTCCGCAGTTTCTTTTTCAAATAAATGGACATAATGATATTCTCCTATAGTTTTGACTGATGGTGTTCACCGTGACCTGCTCATTGAACCCTGCGTAGACTGACAGCTTCACCACATACCTACTAATTCCACCTGCATGACTTGTGAGTCGATCCAATCGACTTCACGTGTCTATTGCAACTTGCTTGACATAATGTAATGCAAACCTTAATGCGATGCGGACACGAGATATGTTCAATATTAATAGATTGTGCTTTCCCAATCTCAGCACATCATCTTTGTTGACTTGTGCCAATAGTTTGACGGTACTGGAGCCTTTGAGCATCAATCAGAAAAATCTGCACATGGGCTTATGAAGTTTGAACCTTCGGGGGGGGAGACTCTGACTGATTGGTCATATCTCTTTAACCTTATAGTTCACAGAAGAAATGGTTCCCGTATCCTTTTAAAACTCCATATTTATTATTAAGACTATGCTCTCCCCCAATAGCAGCTGGAAAGCAGAGAAATGTCTGCGGACCCCAGATAAGCAGAAAAATGGATAGATGGATGGATGGTAAATAAAAAGACATATTCTCATATTCACACAAGCACAACACACAACTAATGCACGTTGCTAACTGCGCCTGTGTCTATGAGAATTGCTAACTTTGGTTGATGCTGAAAGTAGCAATGAATTCCCCACGGTAATTAAAGATGAAATGGTACTTCTAACCGTCAGGAATTTCACCATGGTAGAAACTGGTAAACATTTCATCCCTAATAAGGAATGTGCGTACAATAGGTGCATTAAAGGTCCAGTGTGTAAGATTTAGGTGAAAGGCAACTATTGGCAGAAATTTAATGTAGAATAATCCTCATGATGTTTTCACTAGTTTGTTTCATCTAAATTATATGAATTGTAGTTTTCTTCTCAGAAAAGACCCTTTATATTTAAATACTTTATATTTACATTCAGGGGACCCTCTCTACGGAGGCCGCCATGTTTTTTTAAATTAGTCCAGACTGGACAAACTAAACACCTTCTGAGTTTTTAGACAATTAAAGGCTACCAGTTTCTTTTTTATGTTTGGAAGGAGAGGGTGAGGTGAGGGGTGTTCAGCTGCAAAATGCAATTTCAACACTAGATATCATGAAATTCTACACACTGTACCTTTAAGTTGTTAAAATTATAATTACCTTTTTCAAATGAAATTTACATTACATTACATTTAAGTGAGTCCTGAATGTGACTCATGTGACCACTTATGATTTCACTTGTGAACCTTTTAGTGTTCTATGGAAAACTATTTGTTAACGTCTCTCCAAATGAAACTAAGATTTTGCTGAGCAGCTAAACGCTGTTGCATTGTTTGGAGTTCACATTTATGGTGCACTGTGTGATCACACATACAAATGTGAGGGATTACTTCAAGACATTAAAGTTCAACCTTCTGGTCATTATTCAACACCACAACTCAGGGACAGAAGGGGAGATTGTGACCACATTACCTGCAGCTTGACTGCACACAACTGTGATGCAGTAATTCTAGTCTGTGTTTGATCTCTGCTATTGCTGTTTCCAGGTGGGACATGAACCTCTTCCTCCAACTGTGGGCACAACGATGTTTGGAAGAAGAGTCTTATACTTACCTGGCTTTTTCTCCTATGGTGAGTGAGGTCTGAATATTTATTGTCTTATGCCCTGTTCAGACCTGGTGTCATAATCTGTCCTAGGTCCGATCACACCTGCCGTTGCTTCCTGTGACCACTGCGATCAGATCTCACTTCCCCGCTCTCATTTCTGTTCCTGACGAGCGGATGATGTTTTTAGCCAGTCTGAGTGTATAGATGTGCCTGTTGTCAACGTGTTTGAGTCAGTGCGAGACACAGATCTGAGTGATAGGATCTCAAGACTGATTTATTTGGGTGCATTCACACCTGTACATAGAGCTGTCCACCTGTGTTTGGATCATTTAGGATGAATGTTTATACCAGGTTTTACCGAGCACTCACAACATCCACACAACATAGCTGGCTTTTGTGCTAACGTGCCATGCTAGCTCTTGAAATACCAAAGGGAAGTACTTGGAAAATAAACTCCATAAACGTAGAACACATACCAGGTTCAACAACTGCCTCTACCTTCTCTCTCCAGGCTCAGTTCAATTGATGCCAGGAAGGATCTGTAGTAGAGAGAATATAAATTGATTTGCTAGTGTGATTTGATTGGCTGGTGTTGGTACTGCCACTTGAAGATTTGAGCTTTTCTCAGCTTCTACCACGTAGGTTCCTGCTGAAGTCTCATGTGTGTGAGCGCTCCGTAACTGTTTCGCTGGACATGAATTTATAGCAGCCGACAGGATATGGATTTGTTTTCAGCACAGCACATTGTGAAGGTGGATGGAAAGAGGGGACTCTTCCGTGGCTTCGCACCTCGTATCATAACCAGCGCCATCTCCACCATAGTCAGGAGCAACGTTAAACAGGTAAGCACCTGCTGAGACTAAGACTGCACAAATATCATGACAGTGTTATGGTTGTTGCTTATGGGGCCTTGTATTGGGGCAGAAAGATGACTGGGCAAAGTAAAACCGCCAGCAGATCATAGCTGATTATAAAACAAAACCACAAGAGAAGGAAAAAATATCTTGCTCACCTAACTTCCAGTTGTTGTGACATCGGTTTAGGGATCGTTCAGGAACAATGACCACACTAGAAATGCTAAATTGGAGAAACCACAAGTCAGTCAGCATTACTTACTTGTAGTGTTAGTTGCAAGGGCCTCACCGAGAGTGGATTCACACGCGCTGATTATGGAACTAGCCTTAGCGCAGTCCTTATAAGTGCCTCCTTCAGGCTATGAAAGCAGAAGGTCTCAGCTCCAGGTGGAAATTAAAAAAAAGGTATATGCTAAACGTGAATTAAACTAAAGAATACCCAAAAGAATGAGAAAATATGTGGGTCTTCAGTTTACCCTTAAATTTGTGTACTGAATTAGAACACTGAATTGTAAATGCTAAATTCCTCCAAAGCCTTTGAGCAGCGACAGCAAACAGACGATGGCCCTTACACCTTAGCTTAGGCAGAGCGACGGACAGAAACAGCTGTCGGGACAGAGGGTTTTAAAGAATGGAAAGGTATAGGTGTTATAAAGAGTTGTCAGAGTCATTTATTTCTTTATTCAGCAGGTGGAGTTTAGAGCCAAGAGAGACGACCTTCAGACCTCACTCAGGAAAGTGGTTAAAGAGGTGAGAGGTCACCTGCTCCAGACTTTGGGATCATCCCTGGCTCGTGTGGAGGAGATGTAACTGCATTGTGTCATTATACTCACTACCTACTGTCTGTTTGACATGTTGGTATAGTTTTTGTTTGTTCCACTGTAAAATGAGTGTGAGTATGGAAAATTGGCAAATACCAAAAGTGTACAGCAAGTTATACTCATATTACTCATTATTACTTGTATTACTTTTACTCATCCTTCAATCAGACAGTTTCAGACTATAATATCTCACTAATAGACTACATTTTGTGAGGCCATACTTTCTGAACAGAGAGATATACATGTTTGTATAGAAAGGTAAAGTAAGAACAGACATGAACTCCGGAGAATGTCCACATAATTGGATAAATGCACTTTTTCCACAGTTTCCCTTTCACACGTTCACAAAGTTCACAACACAAATTTCAGGAGTGTTCAGGTGAGGGGTGGTGCAGCAGGCAGAGGAAGGATTTAACGTATTAACTCTGCTGCAGAGATGTTTTTGTTTAGTACATCTTATCACCAAAAGCTCTTCTCACATTTTTCTCTGTGTCTTCCACGTCTTTTCATCTGCAGATATGTTTTCTTTTAGTTAATTAATTTTTTTATTTTTGCATATATTGTATTTTAGAAACGCAATCAACACACCCACAACCTTGTGGTGAATCCTGTGGAGGATTTGCTGCGGTGTTCTCAAATTGGCTCATTCTGACATTTTCCGGAGTTTTTACCAGGAAGAAACTTACTCAAAACACATTTATCCAGCAAAAAATGAACAGATGTTTTGATTTGTAGCATACATTTCATTTCACATCTTTTTATCCTTTTATCAAACTGTCTCTTCACATTGTTTTCATGTCTTCAGACCACACATGAGATGATCATCCAGTGCCTGTCCAGAATAGCCACTCATCCTTTTCATGGTATGTCCTCATTAAGGCTGTCAAAGTTTATTTCACCAAAAGCAGCTGTATTGTTTTCATTATTGAACAAGTATTTTTATAGTTATTTTGTCAAAGTAAAATCATTTTTAAACTATTGTGAAAATTCCCATCACAAATTCTGAATCCAATGATTTTCTTGAAATGTCTTGTTCTGTCCGACCGGCTGAGATGAAACATTAGGCTTTTACATAAAAAAGAGGAGCAGGAAACTGCTGATAGAACAAATGACATATCCTTGCTGATCACCTGTTTTTTTTCTTTTGGCAGTCATGTCAGTGCGTTGTATGGCCCAGTTTGTTGGCAGAGAGGTCAAGTACAGGTAAGACATGGAATTATGCCTCAGTTATTTCCTGTAAAGCCTTTGAAACCAGGTTTTTTTCTACAACCATCAAATACACACGATTAAATGAGCAAGGATTAATTTAAAGTTTGGAAAACATAACAGTTATAATCCTTCATCCTGTGAGTGACCCCACTGTGTAACCTCCTTTGCTTCTAGCTGCTTCACAATAAAGGTCACCCATATATCACCAGTGAACCACTTATCATGAAGCATTAGCAGCAGTAGGAAATGATTGGTTTGCACAGAGCTCCTCTCTGGCTGTAGTGGGTGACAAGCAAGGGCCACAGGCAGACAGCTTTATGTTTGTAACTGTTGAAGTAGATTTATGTATTTCTTTCGTTCAATGTTATATACATGTAGGGATTAAAGTTCCCCTGCATTACAACAGATTAATATCAGTTAGATTCCAGAGAGGCCATGTATGAGATCAGCAAGGATAAAAACATAATTTTACATTGAGAGCACAAAACACACAACTGGCTTCATAGAGCATAATCCATTGCTTCATTGATTTGTCGCTCAGGTTGTCTCGTGATATGTGTTGTCCTTTTTTTACGTCAGTAGGTGCCAATAATTATCTTAGCGCAGAGCCCCTCTGACTCATATCAGTGCACACTGAACTGTTCCCGGGTCAGTAACAATATAAAACTACAACTGTATCATTGATTTTATAGTTGCAGCTTATTCAAGTATATTTAAAGGTAACACTAAGTCTGCTGTTTAATGGGTCAGTCTATGTGCTGGTATTTTCCCTAAAGTTGGCAAGTTATCCAGTAGCTAGGTAGGTAAGTAGGGAAGGTAGGTAGGTAGGGAGGTAGGGTGGGAGGGAGTGAAGTAGGTAGATAGGTAAGTAGGCAGGGAGGGAGGTAGGTTGGTAAGTAGGGAGGTGGGCTAGTAGGTACTATGTATTTAAAGTTTTAATTAAGATTTGTTTATATAAATGACATGACCCTAGAGTTATTACCAGCTTGTTGTTCTTTCTACTCACTGTGTTCAGTACATAGACTCTGCTCATGTCTCCCAGTGTCTCCCTCTAGCAGGTTCTTATACTAATGTATACTTATATATAAATATATAATCATCATCATCACAGTGAACACTGAGGGTAGAGTTAAGAGATGTTTGCAGAATGAGCTGTGAGTGTGGGTCATAGTGAGTGAACTTGTAGTGACGGATACACAACTCAATGCAGGACAGTGTGTACATGTAGCTGTTCTACAATGTTTCTGTGTAAACGGAAGATTTGTCTTTGCTTTAATCCCTGTACACGGGTACGCAATTTAAATCCAGGTTGCGAATGGCGGAGTAGGCCACTGTATGCCGAGGTAGGCATATTATCTTAATACACCAAATGGCTTTTACAGAAAAAAATGCTGCGGTCATTTTTAGTATCAAGTTTTAATATAAAAATCTTAAGAGTTGTAATTTAAACCCAGTCCGCACAAACACCTGTTAAATGTGGTGCTCATTACATAACTTGGCTGATCCATGTTTGCGCATCAAAGAATTTGACATCATCTCCCCCCTACTTCAAACTGCTGCGAGGAACAGTGAGAAGAGCAGACTCAGAGCTGCTTCATTCTCACCAGCTCACTGGATAACAGCTGAGTCATGAAGCAGCCATTTAAAAGCTGAACACAAGAAACCACAATACATTTTTACATTGTTGATGGATTTGATGTCACATTTACAGTGGGATGATCAGTTGTATTACCAACATATTTAAGGAGGAAGGAGTTGCTGGATTCTATGTGTGAGTAATTCAATCATTTTACAGTTATTCTTAATAAAATACTAGGACAGGTTCATTTAGGTCTTTGCAGTGCCGCTGAGCAGTGTTTTGTGTGTTTGCAGAGGTCTCATACCCCACGTGCTGGGAGAGGTCCTCTTCCTGTGGTGTTGTAACCTCCTCTCTCACCTTATTAATACCTACGCTGTAGACGACTGTGTAAGTATCTCTATCTGCGATGACATTATTTCATAACTACACAATAAATTCAATGTTGATGAAAAGTAATGAATAAGAAAGTTTGTTATGCGTATACTTGGCCATAAAGAAAGTTCCAATGGAATACTGTTCACTGGGAGCTAAAGTGCCTCACATGAAGACGCTGAGAGTTGAAACATGTTGCTGCAACAGCTGAAAGGCAAGTGATATGCTGCCAAAGCTGGAAGTACAAATGAACTGCTGAAGTGAAAGAAGAAGTCTTTGTATTCATTCCCGAAGGCGCCCTCTAGCAAAGGCTTGTTTGAACACAACCATCTAAAACCTGGTGGTTTTCAGAAAAACGTTCATCTCTGAGCCCCTGAAGCTGATAGAAACCTGAAATTAAACCATTTTATACCCTTAGACTTTAGATTTAGTTGTTAATCGTTGCCTTTGCATTGGAAACCACATGACTGGAAAATGAAAGCAGCTATGTTAATACTTAAATTCAGATCCTTTTTTAATGTGTATTGATTTTTTAAGAAATATTGATGATCATTGGGGCATTTGTGCATTGTCAAGCTCTAAAGGGAGAAATGCAGATGTCACACCTGTCTTGACAGAGAGATACACATGTATGTATAATCTGGTTAATATGAGACAAACTCAGTCTGAGGCAAAACATAAGGTCATGGGGTAAAGTTTTGTTTAGGCTCCATGCAAGAGTCAATGCAAAGTCTAAATAAGTGTGTGTGTGTAGAAACAGTTTAATGTGATCATTAGGCAGAGTTGATGATAACAGTTGAGGGCTTCTCTTGTTGCTCAAAGGCTGACCATTAGAAAAACATCAATCGATCAACAAATCAAATTTTATTTGTATAGCCCGTATTCAGGAATCGCAATGTATGCGCAGTAGAGAAGTGCAATAAATACCATGTCAACAAAATAATAATATTTACAACATTCATGAGAAAAGGCAGTGTCCAACATAAATGAAGAGGAGCAGCAATGTTTGAAGGGAGCAGTGATGATAATTGCAATGATAGAGGTATCGTCAATAATGGTAGAATATCTGAGGAGGGTATATTGTAAGAAATCTAGCTGTAATCCTAATCTACGATCAGATGCTTCCATGATTATGATCCACGACCCATAACTATTGTTTAAGTATGAACACAAACGTATAGATGGATGTATTAGATGCATAACTTATGTGTGAGAAGTGAAAGATGTTAAAGTCACAAGAGCTGATGTCCAAAAAAAAGTTTGGAGAGGGTGACCTCACTACGTGATGTTAAAGCAACATGTTTCAACACTCGGCTTCTTCAGATTATGTACTCCACGTTTAAATTTCAACTTCCAGAATTTCATTTGATTTAACAATTTCCTCCAGCTTTCAACTTCCAAATTAAATCAAATGTCCTGTTCCATATAAAGCCAGTCCACTGTGGCCTCTCTCTCTGTGTTGCAGTTCAGTCAGGCCTCAGCAGTAAGAAGCTACACTAAGTTTGTGATGGGAGTAAGTTCAGTTCAATTGTTATTTGATCTATTGCTCCTGTTCATCAGGACTTCAGATTAATCCAGTGTTGTTTTCTAGATTGGAGTGAGTATTCTCACATATCCGTTCATGTTGGTGGCCGATCTCATGGCAGTCAACAACTGCGGGTGAGTCGATCCTTCCAACATTATAATGTTCTCACGTGGAAAGACATTTCACTCTTCAGTGACAATATGATGGGATTCAACGTGTCTTCATTCAGTAGTTCCGCTGACCTGCACGTTAGTGGTCGACCCGCTCTGCCTCCTGAGACCCTAACCCCAGACTGCACTTCCTGTGCACAGTGTTGACAGTGACATCATGTTGTTGATGTCATGGTGACAACAAGGGAGAGCGTACACACTTTGTGTTGGTTAAATCTGAATCTGAGTCTATTTCTGAAATAGCAAACACGTCAAACCTTGTGAACTTGGAGCTTTCATCAAAGGTTGTAGCTACATTGTCATTTGGTCATAGCAAACAGAGTCCCATTTCAACAACGTCTTTTTTGAATGGGCAACAACATAGTTAGTGTTATTTGTAAAATCCAGGCCACAGTCTTGATCTTGAAGTCTGACTGGTTGGGCTTTGTGTCAGTCTGGCTGCAGGTCTTCCTCCGCACTCTCCCATCTTCAAGTCCTGGCTGCACTGCTGGAGTCACCTGAGCCACAAGGTACGCTCACTCTGTCACGTTTTAAAAGGATTAAAAAGGAAATAAATATACAACATTTAAAATGTTTATAGAGACCTTTAGTTTGACCAGGTTTAGAGTTGAGACTTATCAATATTCAATAATAATAGTGCTGAAAAGCATTCTAATCCCCCCCTCCCCCCTCCCGTCAGGGTCAGCTCTACAGAGGATCGAGCTTCTTTTCCCGCTGGGTGCCTGTCAGCTCCCTGCCCTCCATCGAGAACTGACATCATCACCGTCACCCTGCTGGGACGTTCATCCTTCTCTTGCCGTCATCCACTTTTAGCCGGAGCAGCAGAGACTCAGTTTCTCTCGTGCCATCAAACCTTTTCTCACAGCAGCTTTGGTTTGGTTTCAGTGAGGCGAGGAGGGAGCTCGTTCTGAACTACATCGCAGTGTTTTGTTCTCGACTGCAGCGTCCACCTCTGATGTCATGTCCTACTCTCCAGTATTCTCATCAACAACCCTCAACCAACGTTTCCATGGACAGCAGACAGCAACTGTTCTAACCTACGACGAGTACAATGACCAGCTGATGGTCACAGGGAGAGGATCACAGGCAGCACATGTCAGACACATCGTGTTGACTCTTGTTTGAGATCGTTTGCATTGAGCTGTGCAGATTTTGCATAACACTGTGTTATGCAAAAATATTTCCACATATTGTTTTCCGGGTCAGATTACATAAAGCAAGTTCCACAAGTTAAATGTTCACGTTGTTAAGGAAATTGAATGGAAACCAATGGCTGCATGATATGGTTGCATGGCGTGCTTTTTAAACCCAGACGGACACAGGACACCCAGCATCAGGAGGCTTTGTGAGTGCAGGTGTGAACAGTGTCTTTGTTCCTGTTTGTGGAAAGAGTGTGTGTCTAGTTCTACTGAGACTATATAAAGCGTTCATTTTTTAAGGTGTGTGTGTCAGACTGCAATGTAACACAACGTAATGCAACTTACACATGATAGTCGAAGCTGAAACAGTTACATGATATTTAAATATGTACAGGAGTATATGTCTTAAATTTTACTTTTATACCCTCATGTTTGAAGAGTTTTCAGTTTTGTGTTTTAAAAATATTTATTCCGTAACGCCGACAAATATCTTTACCATTTAAACTGGTCGCTGCCGCTTGTCTTTTTCTTAGTGGAGCTGTGTTACCAAAACAAAACTTTCCTACTCAGCCGTATTCCGTTCATGTTCAGTATCTGGGCACCAAGTTCTAATAAAGCACCATTTAAAAAGCCGTCCATAAGAACATGCTCAGGGTTATGTGATTGTGTCTTTCTCGTGTTTGTCTTCCTCCAGCAGGACAGACCTGACAGCTGAGAATCAACTTTTACAAAAGTAATGGTAATATTAGTATTTTCACTAATATTCTAATAGAGAAATTAGTTTTAAACCAACAACAAAGAGAAAAGAGAGACAATTATAAAATACTTATCTGATGTGATTAAGTTAATTCAAAACTGTATTTATTTGCTGAGAATCACTCACTTATCTATTTGCAAACTTGGAAAGTAATGGTAATATTAGTATTTTCACTAATATTCTAATATGAACATTTGCTTCAGTTTTTCAGTTAAACAGGGTTTAAATTTGGCACTGAGATATTTTTGCTTTTAAGTTTCAAATCAGCAGATGGGACTGACTGTGTCTCTAGGAGGCACAACACAGGAATTACAATGAAGACGATCAGATGTGAAGGAAGACACAACTCAGTAAGTGCAGAGTAATTCATTGTCAAATAGCAGAAAACAAAAACAGCCACACGCCACAGAGAGAACAGTGGTTTAAATAATGTACACCCACCTTCCCAAACCCCCCCCTCACTTCTCACTCCCAGGTCACATGTGCTACAGCATACACACATATCTGAGCATTGCATGTGGAGAACAGCATGCGTCTAACATTGCAACGTTTCTCCAAATCATGAAAACATCCACACCCACAATCTGAAATCTCATTCACTCACCCACCAAGTGGCATCATGAAACCAGACCACGTGCTCTGCTGCTGGAATCAGACTCATCTGTTGTCTGGTCAAAGCATGCGGCGCAGGAGCATTCCAATAATAGAGTCAAAGAAAAAAGCTCCTTGTGTGCTTTTCTACAACGTGTTACAACGTGCTGAGCTTCATCTACACACTACCTGAAGAGGCTTTTTACAACAGACGATAAGAAAAACCTTCAGACTGAGCTGGTGCATACAGAAGATCATTCCTGCCACACAGGGAAACCTTATGAAATGTTGGGAATGAGAAAATGTTAAAACCAACAACAGAGAGAAAAATATATCGTTTTTTTGAAGTCACATTTATAAAATACTCGACCTGCTTTAATTCAAAACAGTGTATTTAAAATTAATATAAATCTTAACACATATATATTTCAAAATGTGTAATATAAACTATAAAACAATTCTGAATTACTAAATCAATATTATGATGCAATTTGGACTTGAGTCAACCTACAAGACTGACTTCATGAATCTTTATCGATGGACCTCAACTAGATTTTGACCTACAAGGCAAAGTTTCCATGTAAGAGGCTAAATGATTCAATCTATGGTGTCAATATTGTCACATTCCAAACTTTTCATATTTTCTCCTGGGAGAGGAGAAATGTTCTTCTAGTTCCACCTCAGATCAGGACAAAGATGAAAATAAAGGTCCAGACTAAAGTCACACAAACACTATTTTAAAATTATTCTGGCAAAAAAGAGAGAAACTTTTTCTTCACGACTCCATAAAACTTAATTTACATTCATTTTAAATGACAGCATTTTGGATATTGTGTTCACTGGAAAATGTTAAGCCCTGTGCTCCCAGATCTAAAAGTTCAAACATCCTGACCCCAGGAATGAACCATTATGCTATTACACATCAAAATATATTAAAGAAAAAATCTCAACATACGGTTATCAACCAAAACATTTCAATGTCTTGTGAATGTAGCAGCTGAAGCAGAGGTGAACAGTGGGGGAGAGTTTAACATTAACAAGCAGAATTGTTTTCTCCATGTCTGGGATCATATGAGGCCATTTGTCATGATACCATAATTTATTCTCACAAGGCTGAAGATGTTCTATCTGGAGCTATTGTCTCCAGAGATCCCTGGTTTTTCTGCTGAGTTAAGTAAATGCAGCAAGTGGATCAGCCAAGGAGCTGACTCTTTGTCTTGGTGGCTGCAGTGAGTTCAGCAGTTCACTAATATATCCATTCATCTGCTTTAATTGAAGTTTGAATGGGAAGATGTGCTGATGTATGACATGTTTGTGGCATTAAAATTGTCCAATTGAGACATGTGTGGGGAACGTTTTCTTTTCCAGTCTAATGAAAGCACCAATTCCAAACAAATCATTGGGCCTGACTTTACTGATCAAACATCACATAAGGTGCTCAAGGTAATTGAACATAATGTCGAATGTAAATGTAACAAGACTCTGGTGTTTTGTTCCACAAAATGCATCGTTCTCATATTCACACTTATCAACAAGCAAATATTCCAAGTACTAGACTATAAAAGGACTAAAAGTCTAAGTTTAAGGACGTGACGTGTCAGAGAAATGAAGCAGAAAGTCTTTGGTTGGATCGTCTGAAAGAGTCAGCAGCTGTGAGCAGCACGAGAAACATTTGGACAGAATCCCTGAAGAGCACCTTATTCACTTCAAGTGACAGCTGAACGCAATGTCTGAGTTGACAAGTCAACATAAAGCAGTGAGCGGAGTGGATGTCCTGGTTTAGAACAAGAACCCCTGGTAAGTCCGACAGACTGGTGCTGGTTTGTAGAGGGAATGTAGATGATGCTGGTATCAGGAGTGAAGACGTCCCACTGCATCCACAGGGGGAAAAGGCAAGTGGAGAGAATCACAATCACTTTAATCCCACAGTTCTGTTCTCAGGTATAAGCAGGAAGTAAAAAGGTACCCTCGGAAGCATCAGAGAAAGAGAAGACCTGCGGAAATGAAGGCAGCAGTTCCTATGGTGGAAAGCAATGGATGTAATTGAGCCCCTTTATTATTTGCAAAGTCCTGTGACGAGAATCCTCATCAGTCAGGTACCGCTGAGAACAGGAAGCGTTCTCCTTTCAGGGCTGAAGTTCAGGGGTGTGGACGACTCATTCAGGTTTCGTGGCGGTGTTGGATAAAAGCCAGTTGAAGGTGCTCATCTCTTGCCTGACTTCATGTAGGACGGTATGGCTCCTCGGGCGGTCAAGCCTTCGAAGCGTTTGTACGTGTAGTTGATGAAGACCCAGTCCTTGTTCTTCAGGTCAACCTCAGTCTGGTTGGACACCGGGGTGGCTGGAGTCGGAAGAGGAGGAGCAGGGTTTGTAAGCATTTCACAGCAGAGGCATGAACTGACATGTTTTCATTAAGAACAGTGCGGTACCTGTCGGTGTGAGGATATCTGAATCAGGGAACTCATCAAAGTGGGAGGTGTCGTCGATGCTTTTGATCTCGATGGGAATGGCAGCAGGTCTCTCCCTGGAGAGCAGATCAATCGAGTTAGAGAAGAGTCACAGGGGGGAAATGTTGCATTCGAGAACTCGGTGAGGACAGAGCTGAGAATAGTGCAGATGAGCTACGATCTCCACTATGAGCCTGGCCGTCACAAAGCAGCTTCAAAGAACAAGCAAACAGGAGTACACAACTCATACTTTTGAGTAGCCTCTTCCGATACTTTAAGGAAACACCTCTTCAGACAGTCTGTAAGATGGAGTTAACAGTTATCTTAGGCTTATGATGTTTTGAGTCTAATCTTTTGGCCACTGAGCAGCTCCAGTAGAGCAGCTACTGATTAAAGTGGTGCTGAAATACAGGCAGAGATACAAATCTCTAGAGAGTAAAGATAACCCAGTGCAACTACTTGAGAGCACACACAGGACTTCACATACTAATTCAGCTGCAGCCTTTCCAAGTTAACGTCTTCGTTGGCGACTTCTTATCTTTTTAATCTCACATGAGCTCACTCAGACACTATCCAGTTTTTACAAGGGGACTGGCAGGAACAACTCTGGCACTGACTGACATTTGCATCCTCACTTACAGTCCCTCCTTTCAGGAGATTATCAGGAGTTCAGTGCATGTCTGAAAGCAACATACTATCTGTACATGGTGACTGTACAGATAGTATGTCTTAACTATCAGTCATCTAAGACTGAGGAAAGATGTCTCAATGTAGTAAAGTTAAAATGACGATGAGTGTACGTCAGCAGTCCATACCTGATATGGTCATAGTCCACGCCCTCAAAGAAAGGATTGGACTTGATCTCTTCCACACCTACAGCCCCGACCCTGTGCTCCTCCTCACAGCAGAACCTGTTCACAACATGGGTTCACTTAATACTATTCATCCACACCAACTCATGCAAACCATTTCAGGTGCCAGATGCATTACAAAACAATGCATTCACCATAAATATACAAAACAAGTACTTATCGGAGTGTGACTAGCTGCTGCATCAACAACTAAAGTAAGTGTGAGAGTGATGGCAGATGTGCAGAGGTGTGTCCTACCTGAGGATGAGGTCTTTGGCCTTTTCTGATATGGGAACTTCTGGAGGAAAGGTGAGCGTCTCTCGCCAGTTCATCACCTTCCTGTACGTCTCCTGAGGCGTCTCAGAGCAGAACGGAGGGTAACCTTAGGATCACAAAGACCAGTCAACGTCATTCTGACCACATCTGGCCTGGCCTGAATGTCCCTGAGGTAAATGAGGTGGTGTGAGTCTGTGAGTCATTACCGATCAACATCTCATACATGATGACTCCCAGGCTCCACCAGTCGCAGAGCTTGTTGTATCCATTTTGCATGAAGACCTCTGGGGCGATGTAGTCTGGTGTTCCCACTGTGGAGAAAGCCTGACAGGAGGCAAAGGAGCCAGGAACAACACAAATCAAAACTAGAATGTGATTCAGTACAGATA